CCCGAAAATTTTCATCTCACTGTTCAGTTCGATATTGCGCGTCATTTAAAAATTTTTAACTAACTTGAATCGTTTCGAACCTTTTAAGAAACTCTCTTCAACGAGCGGAGTCTGCCATTCGTCGCAGGCTGCAAACGGATTTTATAATTTCGCAGTTTCTCACCGGACGAGACAATCAATTAACTCGCCCGTGTTCGCGAGAAAAATTCACTTACATTGTCATTAAGCTTTCTGAACGCAGTTATTCACACGCTAGTTTATTTATTAACTGTAATTAATCTTCTGAAACCTCGCCGATGATGTTCATTCAATTATGCAACGGGGCCTGAATAATTGCGGAATAATTGATTCTTACCCAGATTAGAAACTAGAACACGTTTTTAATTTATTTCCCTTGATTAAAATACCATTACTTATTTCTCAACACTCCAATTATTCAGCGAGACACGCATGTGGTACGATATATATATATATATATATATATATATATATATATATATATATATATATAAGGATAATTAACATTATTTCAGGGACAAAGAGATTACCACAACCGGATCGATCATTGTCAGCAAGATTCTGGCTGTTATAGTCGGCATCGCTTGCATAGGATTGGCATTTATGGGTCAATTTCTTGGCGGGCTTCTTCAGGCTGCTTTAACGATTTTCGGCGTGGTCGGTGGCCCTGTGTTCGGCATGTTCACACTGGGCATGTTCACGCGGCTGGGAAACCAGAGAGGAGCCATCGTCGGCCTATTGACTAGCCTCGTTTTCTCTTTATGGATCGGTTTCGGCCAGCCGAAGCCACCGATCCCAAACAAAGTGAACGTCAATGGCTCGGACTGTGGCTACGCCGATGCATATTACGATCACGAGAAATCGTCGAATTTGCATTTCGAATACCAGTGAGGAATTCGCCTGCTATTCATTGACCACGCATATTTTCAGTCTCCACGCGTTTCGCGCGCGCTTTTTTTTTTTTTTTTTTTCTTTTTCATGATCACGCACACAACTGCCTCTTGACTTTCATCGTCTCGTATCTTTTTTTCTTTTCTTGTAGTTCAGCATATAAATTTTTATAAATTCGCGAAATTCTATTTCGCTTGGCACAGTTTAAATTCCCCGCGTAAGTGTATAATTATCTCACTATAAATATTTCATCGATGAACTATTTCCCGGAAGCTAGTACAAGCTAATACGATCAAGTATTAAACATTAATATTCAGAAAAAAAATAATCATTACGATAGTCAACAAACAGACTGTTTACACTTATTTCTAAAAATACTTGCAATTCATGTACGTAAATTATGCGCTGCACTACGGGAGTTGTATTTTAAAAATGTCACAACGTCATATGAAAGAACAATCTCCAACGCTGTACACCTGCTACACCTGTTACATCAAATCGCTAATCGTTTTCCTCGATCGCGGGATTAACACGTATTCCACGTAGCACGGTTTAGCATAATTGTTTTCTAAGAGGTGATCAATTGTACGGCTCCTCTGTTGCAGGCAAACTGACGATGATTCATACTTCTATTTGTACCGCGTTTCATACATGTGGTATTGCCCACTGGGAAGTGTGATCAGTTTCGCGGTGGGATGGATTTCCAGTTGGATCTCGAATCTAATTCTGGGCGAAGAAACCGGTGATCTGGAGCCAGATCTCTTCGCCTCGTGTCTGCGTAAAAGGGAATCGAAAAATTTGGACAAATTAGACAACATCGTGGCTGACTGAACCGGGTACGTTAATTCACGTGAAGAATAGCGCGGCATATCATCTAGAAACGAATGTTTTTACACGCATATGCTGCTCGAAAAAGTATCGGAGAATTCATGATTTCGAAAGAAATAATGGACTCGTTAAGTAAATAAATATTTTATTCTTGAAAACATTGGTATTTAGGTGTAATCCTGAAATGGAGTGGAACGGAGTCTTTTTATGACCCCAGCGGTGATACCTGACTTCGATTACCGCGTTGTAAAATAATTCGCGTATTCTTCGAATTCCTTTGCTTTTTATAACTTGTATCTAGACTGCCATGCTTGACAATATTTTAGTAAATTTTTGCAGAAATGTACGTGAAACGAATGCTTGCTCTAAATTTGATACTCTGGAACGAGTCGCTTAATATAATTATCTTCCAGAAGATAACGAATACTATTAGAATGTAGAAGAGAACGCAAGGAATTCTTTAAATTTTTGAGCGGAAATCTTGCAAAGATTATTCCGTTATATTAATACAATTTTAAGTTACACAATTCTCAAACAAATAATTGATCTTTAATAACACTGTGCTTCGTCATTCTATGTAGTGTCTCTAGTTATTATCGCCACTGGTATTTCTACGAATTTCTGTGAGGAATTAAATGCCTCCTCGTAAAAGGAAACAGAACTTATTATCGATCGTTTATTTGCCACGAGCGGACGCGTCACGGCTCGAGGAATTCTCGTAATTGGCCTTAACCTAAAAACAACCGGAGCAGAGTCCAAATCCCTGGAATAAGACACGTGTCGCGTAAATCAGTTAGAAACGATGTTCACGTAGAAGCATCAGGTAATTCTGTTATTTGAAAAAAAAAAAAAGGAAAAGGAGAAAGGAAATTATGGTCGAAATTAAGGTCTTGTACTTCCAACGAAAATGGAATTTGGTAAATATCACAGAGGAAGATAATGCATCTGAAACATGAAATTTCTGCTTTGACAATTCACACACTGCTACTTGTGAAAATTGAAACAAATTTAAAAAGTGCTTAAAGAACTAACTATATACGTGTATAATGTGCAATGTACTAACCATAGGAAACTTTCACGTCCACATTGTGTAAATCATGTGATTTATCGTTTTCATATAGTTGCTCACGAAAATTACTTAAAATACATTATGTGTATAATAAGACTTGACTGTTGTAATTATATTAGTCAAGCTTGAAGCTAATTTAAAAATCTATACAGAAATTACAAGGCAGTACATTGACTTTTTATTAGATACACAAAAATTCTCGCGGTAAGAATATTTTCTTAAGCCACTGTAATGTATGTATAGGTGCATTTAATGGAAGAAGAACCATCGAATATATCAATGATTTTCTATCGGTATATCGTTTGTACCCCCAGCAATCATGTAATCAATCAGAACAAAGATTAAATCGAGGAAGCTACTCTATCTTGAGGAATAAAAAAGTATTGGGCAAAAAAAGATTTCAACTTTTCATCCCGACGAAGAAGAACAGGGTACCATTTATTTGGAAAAAAAATATCTGGAAGCTCAAGGAGGAGGATTCGACGAAATCGTGGCCGACATTACGCATACACGCGCGCTCGGTTTCCTTTCGGAATTCCGATTATCGCCACGAGGCATCCAACTTCTTCTTCTCCTCCTCTGCACCGCAAGGAGCAGACGTAAACACCGCTTGAACCACGGGTGTGTTGAACGTTTTACCGAAACGTTCGCAAATCACGATGGAATGCCGTCAGACTAGTGTTCCCGTGCGCGGCACACGGTGACATACAGAACGAAGCAACGACCTGTGCACTGTGCAGCGC